CACCCAAAAAAATGCCCATTTAACTATTAAATTGTGTAGGGTCCTCCATTTAAGAGAACACAGCCGATGAAAATATTTCATTTATATTTGTTTTCTGTTTTGGCTTTGAAGGTTTTGTGGCCCACATGGCGTATGTGTGATATTTGTTAATGCGTGTAATTAAGCAACACGTCCTCATTTTCGACCTAGCCGGTTGGCTAGCAACTTCCGCTGGCTGTTTTTGCTGAGAAACATGAAACTCTAATTACCAGAAAATGCCCAGAAAGGAAATAGCCAAAAAAAGAACGACGCGTTTGTCGAGGGGTTCGTTTTCGCTTTAACTTGTCGAGCGAATTGAATCCACAATATCCAGCCGCAGGCCAGGTGCAGAGCTTCCGACGAATGTGGACCGGACCGGACTACAGGAACCGGACTCCGGAGTCCGTTTTCCCGGATTTGATGAATAGCCCAGCAAGCCCAAACATCCACCAGTGATGAAAAGGGATCCCCCGAATTGTGTGTTCGTTCAGTACCTGGCATAGCTTGTTATTTTTGTGAAACATGACACTTTCATTACCACAAACTAGTAGATTATTTTCATTTCTATAATTTCAACAATGGAAATCAATCTTTTCTTGTAAATATGCAACAATAAATTTGTAAAGCTGTATTTATTGAAAATACAAAATTTGGTCAATCAGAAATAAATTTAAAAATAAATAAATTAATCAATTCATAAATTAATTAAAGCTTTGGAAGTAGCCTAGAAATTATAGTAGTATAGACATTTTTCACAGCCTTTTTTTAAGTCTAAGAATTAGACATAGTTTACCACATCTTCTGAAATGTGCTTAATATCATTAGATATGGTAAACTGTACCCGAACCTGTACATATTTGGATATTTTTACCTGGATCTTTCTCATCACCGACGGGTTATCATTATGCAGAGGCAAATGGTCATTCGGGCGGCAGATGGATGGTCAATTATCACCGGGTTCGCATTATAATTGGCCATCTGTGTCGAGACGCTGCTCCTCTGAGCAGGTCAATCCCAATGTCTGATGATGGTGACTGTTAAATGCGCAATTAATTGCTGACGGGGCTGCCAGATGCCTAATGATCTTTAAAGGGTCAAATATTCTTATTCGTTGGCTTTCCCAAATGGCAGATTAAAGCTAACGACTTTTTTCCTCAGTGCCTGAATGAAAAACGAATAATTCCTTATATCAAAATTGTTCTAATTATGTTGCCATTATTTACAAATTCAACTTCCAATGTAAAATTAGCCCCTTTTCACGTATTATTTAACTTACCTATTTTAGAATTAGAAAAGGTTTCCCTGACAGCACTGAATTGTTCACCAGTTTAAACTTTATCACTTGTATTAAATTTGTAGAAAAACAAGCAACAGTTTTTTGTCTGTAAATCAACACTAAAATTGATGTCCGCAATAAGTCAGTCATATTTCTCAAACGATTTATTTTTTCATATAGCTATGCCATTTAAATATTATAGTATTTCGCCAGCCATTTTTTTTCGATCCACACACATACGCTTTGGCTGACTTTTAATATGCGAATTTCTTTGTCGATTTTCACATTTGTTTGTCATTCGCGAAATGAATTTCCACAGCCTGCACCGGATAATTAAAAATAAAATCAGGCAAGCGTAAGAAATAAAGAAATGTGCAGTGCGCTTTTAGGCGTTGTCCGGCGCTGTCGTCACTTCCGGTTAATATCTGCCGCTGCCGCTGCTGTACCACCCACATTCCGCCCACAGCCCACCCACTGGAAATCTGAAAATGTGTGGGCCGTAAAATGTGGCATTTAAAAAAAGCACTGCGGCGTGGGTCCTTTCGATTGCGATCCTTTTCAATGAGATAAATATGTCTTATATTAATAACTCATTTTGAAATGGACTTACGTCATTTGTTACCTTTTTGTCTTATTTACTTTCTTATAGTATTATAGTATTCTAATAAATAAGCCATTGAAGTTAGAGCTTAAATGTTTTTATATAAATGTAAAGAAATCACAGTTTTAAACCAGTTTTTCGTTTATTTTTAAATCAAAAGCTATTGACAGCATAGACTTCGATTGTCTCCTTCTTCTTAAATTGCAATTCTGGAGTGCAAGACCCGTGTTTTTTTTTCAGTGCACCTATGACAGCCGTAAAGTGAACACTAAACTAAATGTTTACTTGGCGGCAAGTTATTGATGTGGCAACTGCGTGTGAATGGCAGTTTCCATTTAAGTGCACTCTATCTGCGGTTGCCAGTTAGTTGCTTTAACTATTAATTCGACTCACTAGGGACGAAATACTAAACTGAATTGAACTGCAGGCTCAAGTGAAATTAGTCGATTTCCCAGGAGCTCTACAAGTTTTCCCAGTGAACATGAAAGCCTTCTTTTAAAATAATCCTATCTTACTTGATAGACTATCCTTTGGTCGGTATTAATAGTTACGGCTATAGTTTACTACTCTAGTGAAAACATTTAGTTAAACTTTTAATTATTTAAATTTATTTTATTCTCAAATCAGGATTTCTTGAAAAAAATAAATGGTGTTTTAATTGCAGATAGAATAAAGTTTTAATGACTTGATGCATGTGCTCCAAATTCAATTCGTAATTAAGCTGGCTGTGCCTGAAAAGTGGCCATTTTCGGAAGTTGTATCAATTAAAATTCAATTGAAATGTTGATTGAAAAGTAGACTGGCCTAAGACTTTGATTGATTCATTTTGAGAGCAATGTTTAACAGTAAAGTAATTTATTCAAGGAATTCAGAGGCCTAGTTAAGGCTAATCTTATTAGCTGAGTCGTGTCAAGTAAAACATTATCGCTGACTTTCAATTCTACAAACGACTCCGACAACTGGCTTTTACCAACACTGGAGCCCCATTTAGTGGTATCTAACAAATCACCGCCGGGAGACAGCTCCGCCCCCGAATGGCGTCCAATCTACTGAGTGTTAGCATCTGTGACTGGCTCCGAACGGTTGCCAGTAAATAAACTGGCCAAATTTGTCTAATGCGAACTCCCGACTCCCTATTCCTAACTCCCAACTCCAAGGCCCCACAGATCCCACTCCCGAAGCCCCGGGGAACTCCCCTTTTTTGGGGCCATTGTCTTGCCGGCTGTCGTTGCTCGTTCTGTGCATAATTCACGAGTTCAAATTGCCAAACGCCACATAAATGTACAAACAGGCACGTATTTATATATCCTGCCATCTCCCCGGCCTCAAATGGCTGTGCTCCTTTTTTCTTATTTTGTGGATTTTGTGCAGACAGTGGGAGCCAAAATTATAGTAGTGAATAGTGTTGCAAAGGGGCTTAGCATGCCATTAAATGATGGTCACTTTTTATGATACGATATTTGCAGATAGAAAGCAGAAGGGTGAATATTAAATTGGATATCAAAATTATTAGACTACAAGAAAATTACAATAAATTAAGTTTTCGACCCTTTTTTTTAATCTTCTACAAAGAATTTGAAATTTGTTAGAAAATATTTAGTTAAGAGCATTAGTTTTGCTATTTTCGTATACTATATCTTAAAATACCTCACCTGCTTTTATCATAATTTTCAGGTACTATCACTACAACCGGCGGTGTTTTAAATATATATATAATATGGGTTAGGTCGCTTTTTGCTTTGCGGCTTGCATGCAAATTTTATGTTTTAATAATAAGTCTCTGGCATGCAAGCGTCGCATATTTTATGCCAATTGCTGGGGGTCTGCGGGGATTCCAGGTGAAATGTATGGAGACATGCTCGAGGCAGCCCCACCTGGAGTCATTCATTCAGTTAGTCATTCATTCATTTGGTTCACTTCAGTTTCGTGTCCTGGGCTGTTTATTTTTAACCCAATTGTTTTTGGTGTTTTTTTTGCTTAGCCACAGGGAAACAAGTGAATACCTGCACCCCGCTGGGAATTTATTCCACGCCAAAACGAATTCCCCCAAGATGAATTGCAAATATCTCCTGGAGTGCCATGTTGCACCCTAAACAAGAGTTGGCAGTTGCAACGCAAATCGATTAAAAATTCCACTAAAATTGGAGCAAATATGGAACATAGTAGCACTTTTTAAACTTTCGATTGGGTCAGGCAAGTGCGTGCGGTCATGCAAAATGCAAATGCAAATATAAAACAAGATTGCCGCAATTTTCTGACCAGTCGTCCATTCCCACGATGGCCAAATGGTGGAAGGTAGAATAAATATTTGAGGCGGGACTCACTAAATTGAAAAATTAAAATTTAAACGCGGTTAGAAATGACAAAAATATCGATTTTCGACGAAAATTTGGCTCTCAAACATGTGTCTAAAAAAGCAATTATTTCTGGATTAAATCAATTTGTATATTGTTTTGTAAACTTAAAGAAACCATTTGCTTTATTTTAGGTACCTGACAGTTTATTTTTTGAATAAATATCTAAAAATGTATAATTTTTTTTTTGCTTGACCTTACAATTTAAATATAGATTGTTTAGTGCCACCTAAAAGCACAGTAACTAGCCTGCATCATGATTAAATATCTCTCTTACTGCTGATTTGCGGTTTCTGCCAGTTGCTTATTCATATACTAGTATACGTATATATAAAACGTTGCTGGTATAAATTTTCCTTTCCATTTTTATTTCGCACTTAATTAAAAATCCTTTGCTGACGTGCGACACGCACGGTTTAAACCGCCTTAACCCCAGTTCAACCTCAATCCCGACCAGACCCTCTGACAATTGAAACTTGCTTTCTACTGAACTTGTATTCAGCACTTTTACAACTGACGTGGGAAAAACATACACGGAAAGTGTGTTGTCCATCCACTTTAATTCCATATTTAACTACAAATCTAATAGCTGAAATTAGCAAGTCAAATCATGGCTAAAAAAATATGATTTAACTTAAATGAAGTGCAAACTTATATGTGACTTATTTTTTAAACATAATATTTTACAACTAAATTAAAAACATTATTCAAATTATTTGACTTTGATAATATTTTGTCAAAAGCTGCTTTTAATACTATCTTAAACATGTGCTTTATCAATTTGTTTGTCGTAAAAGGAGAATTGATTTTGTAATATAATATATTCTAGAACCGCAAAACAAATAAATTCAATCAAAAAATTAATTTTACTTATTGTACTATATCCTATAACCTCAAAACAAATTAAGTAGACTAAAAAAAAAGGAATAATTGCATTTCTTTCTGAAGTTAAGTACTTCGTAGGACAGGTTTTCAAGTGGTTTTAAATCACTGGAGATCTTTAACAAGACTTATAGATAGTGGCATTGACCTCGTAGTGGCACAGGGTCCTCTTGCTGATCTTGTCCTTGGGATTCAGGGCGTAGACACTGCCCTCCAGGGTGTAGATTGTGTTCGGGTGGTACATGAACTTCAGGATCGCCGTGTCCGGCGGTACCTGGATGCGGTTCATCACGTATACGCCCTGTTTCAGGGGACAGGCGAGGCTCATGTTGCTGGCTCCCTGCGAGAGCATCAGCTTGGCCACGTTGTTCCAGGCGGAGACGTGACGGATGTATTTCCAGAAATCGCAGGTTTTCGTCGTCGAATTGTAGAGGGTTCGCGGCAATTCCGGTCGACTGGCGGATGCGGAGCTCCGCTTTCGCGGATGCTGAAGCAGGACGAGATGCCACAGGGGAATGGCCACGTCCTGGCGCACAGTGGTCACCGAGGACATCGAGTTGTTCTTCTCGAACATGTTGATCTTCAGGCCATAGTTGGGCGTGTCCCACGACTTAACGCCCACCAATTTCATCACATAACAGTGCTGTTGAATAAATGATGTACACAACAGATTAAATGCACTTAACAAAAATTAAAAAAAAAAAATTAAGATGACATTTTAACCAAGCAAAAAGCACTACTTTCAATTGAGTAAATATTTTATATGGAATTTAAGGTTTCTTTGGTCTAGACATTAAATTAATTGGTATGCATTTCTTGAGAAAAAAAAGCACTTATTACTTTTCTCGTGAACTCAACAAAAAAGAAATTTAAAATGTACACCAACAAAATATGAACTGATGAGCTTTAATATATAATCACACCGATTGTTTTCCCCACCTGCTTGGTTAATTGCAAAAAGCCAAACAGAGTTATAAAACCCAATAAATTTCTATAGAAACCCATAATACAGGGAGCGCGGCCCACGAATAAAGAACAACTGAATGAATGAATAACAAAATAATAATGTTAGCAAAGTGATTTAACCATTGAACCTAATGATTATTCCTGTGATTTGTCACAGCTCAATTGAATCAATTCGATGGAAATTGCTGGCTAATTGCCAAATAATTGTGGGAATTATGTACAACATTAAACGGAATTTAAACTTTGTGGCTTGACCGCCAAAATTCGACACCAAAATAGATAGCTTTAGATTTGTGTTTTTATGTTTCTGTTGAGATTTGCTTCAAGGCAGTACACAGGTGGTTATTTATTACAATGTTAATTTCATGAATTATTGAATACCTGAAATTAAAATAGCCCTTGTTTATGCGATACAGATGAATTCATAAAATGATAGTAATAGAGTTGCCAGATGTGCTGTCAGGTGCCTATTGATAAGCCAATAAGACGAAATACAATAATTTTATTAAAATTGCAAGGTTTACAGGAACTACCAATGAAGATAAGTTTTGACGTCATTGACTAGGCATACGCTTTTAGTAGGCTTATTCAAATATCAAATATTATTTTTTAGTTCAGAGTTGCCACTTACTTGTCGAGCTAAGCTGACAACGCAACACTAATTCATGAAACGCCGCTAAATTCTTAGTCAACATGAAATGGTTTTAATGCACAGAATTTTTTCGCCATTTCATGAAATGGATATCGCATAAACTTAGTATGTTATGTGACAGTAATTTAGTACTGTAAACAGCTGTCATATAAAAATAGTATGTGATTAATTGACATTGAAGAAAATATAAACCTTAGTTTTGCATGTCAACTGATTGATTGACTGACGAAAATTAAACATTGGAGCTATCGAGACTAAGCGAAATGAGTGCCAATAATGAAGTGAACCAGCAGAAGATGACCGACAAGGATGAGTACTTCGCCAAGCTGGCGGAGTGGGCCAAAGTGGTCAATGGAATCCACACTGCTAATCTGATGTTTTTGCACCACCTGTGTGTGACCAATCCCCAGTTCTTCCAGATTCCACAGCCAGTGACCGTGGAGCCACCACCACCACCTCCTGAAGTTGAGTTGCCAGCAGAGCCAAATCCAAGTGTTTTCCTGCTGGCGCCCTTGTCGAAACGCCTTGCAGCGGAGGCCATCGATAGGATGATCATTGGAGTCCTGGAGCTCGTCCTTACACTTGTGCTATCCGTGATCTTTTTCGGCTACCAGTCGGTGAACTACTTGGGGCTCTTCAATGACCTTCTGCTGTTGAATCACGTGAATGAGATCCCTCGCAGCTGCTTGGAGGCTCTGTGCTGCTATTTCAATGGTGGCGTCACTCCCGGCAAGTCCCTGATGAATATCCGCATCGTTGAAGGTGCCAATATAGTTCCGCTTGAAGTGCCCGAAGATCCGCCAAAGGTTATCATCTTCGAGGCTCAACCGCCTTCGCTGTTGACCTCACTGAGTCGCGCCCTGGTCAAAAACCTCCTGTCGATGATCTGCCTTCCCCTGTTCATATTATTTGCCATCGAGACCCGGCGCACTGCCCAAAACATCCTGACCACCACCATTGTGGTGGAGAACGAGCCGGAGGAACACATCTGAGGACAAGATCGGATCTATCTAACCAAATCTGGAAATGGGTTCTCAATAAAGCTATTCTAAATAACGCTTAGAAAGACTCTTTTCAAATTTATTCTATCATTTAAATTGAAGAATTGTGCTTGAATTTTTGTGCTAGTCACGATTTCAAGCATTTTAGCTTATCAATATTGTATTTTGCTTGCGGTCGCCAAAAAGACTACAACAATATTGCAAAGAAGTATTTTGCAGATATTAGCAAAATATATAATTTTGCTAAAAATCTCTATAAAAATTCCTGAATGGTAATGAACTATTTCAAACAATTATAATTTATGATTGGACCTTCGATTGACTTAAACAATCATATGTTTTTAAAGTAGAGATCATATTTGGAGCTTATTTTATTAGATCCCGCAAAGCCAACTAAGATAAATTAAACAACAAAAAACGGACTTTTGAAAATTGCTTAACGCAGTAGGTAAAATATTAAATGTCAACCGTTTGTTCCTCCACCCACAAGGCTTTATTTTCAGTATAAAGCCAGGTTTCAACCAATGAACAACTAAAGACCACAATAAATTTTGTAAAGTTTTAAAAAATATATACTTTTGTAAAAAAAAATTTTCATCATGATTTTGGAACTATTTTTTTTTGGTGGCAAATTTAGCTCAGACACAGCTTATTTGATGAGAGCGCGGGATAATTGCAAAATTGGAGAACTTAAATTTGAGCTAGAAAAACACATTAAGATACCAGTCGAATGTCAGCAAATCTTATACATTGGTAATTCCGTAAATGACCATGATGAGAAATCTTTGCGGCCAAAGAAGTCTGAAGGCATCGTCAGTGATCCCAGTGATTGCATAAAGGATCTGGATGCGGACATTGTGGTCTTCTATAAGGAAACTTTGGTGTGTATGGTGAGATATGTGAAGGACAACCAGTGTTGTTCGACCAGGAAGCATGAAAACTTGAAGGCGACTAGCAACTCTAAATCGAAACATCGATGTCCCCGCAAACATGACTACTCCGAATTGTTCCTGTGTTCGTTTATAATACCGAAGGTAGTAAGCTACGGCTGGTCGAGGATATTCAAATTGATGGAGACGCAAAATTTAGATCTAGACACTGATAAATGGATCATTATAAGCCAAAAACGCGTGGACCCAAATGTCGATGAAGTCGTTTTCGAAGGTGATGTGAATCTAAAAGTCCTCCTTTTTGTCGATTCAAAAAGTATTGCGAGTATTGAACAACGCGACAGGAAGATCAAGTACCTCTTTTGGAATTTGCCATTCCATCTTTGCCAGAAAATTAGCTGTCATTAAATTAGAAGTAACCAAACATTTTTTGATACGCAGAATAAATATTTGTAATTTTTCAAGCAACAATTTATTAATTGGCATAGTCAAAAATGAATAAAAATAATTTTAATAAAATTTGTTTGTGGAGAGCTAAACAATGTTTGTTTAGGATTGGGTTCAGTGGATGGAAAAAGTTTCCTAATGAACTTCATGTTGTTCCTTTGTAATTGTTAATTGGATTTGCATTTGTACTGTTACTTCTGCCGATATCTACACTATCTGGGCCAGCTTTCCGTTACACTTTTCCAACATATATTACATTTCCCCGATCCGATTCCGGCTTATTTGTTTGTCCTCGCTGCATGACGGCAATCGACCGAACAATGGGTTGAAATCCACTTTCCACATACTCACATCCGCACACATCATCCTGGCACTTCCTTTTGTCCTGGCTGGATTCACTTTTCCTTTTTGTATTTTCAGTTATTTCCCGGCAAATATTTGCATGACATTGGCTTTTCCCGCTCCACAAACATATTTGCCAGGCATTTCGAGGCGTTCTCCAGCTTATCCTTCGCCTCGAATCACATCATCGCCTCAGACCTCAATGCGATTTGAGTGGCTGAGGAAGAATTGTCCAACAGTCATCATCATTCGGCTTTGTTTCAGTCTCGTTTGCGATTCCTTGCAGCGCAATCTTTAAAGCTTCTCTTGCAGCTACCTAGATTTTATTAATGCTGTATTTAAAAATGAATTTAATGAATTAATCCGTTAAGCATAGACGAGTCGGCTATCGAAGTCAGGTCATTTAGTCAGGTCTTTGTTAATGTACCCTTTATTCAACTAAGTATTAGAAAGATAAACTTAAAGAGCTCACTACAGAAGAAATGAATAAAACTTGGGCAAGCCGAAGTTTATATACCCTTGCAGTTATTACAAAACGAGTAAATTTTTATTTCTATGCCTATATTAATAAAAACAATGAAGCTATGTCGATTTTGGGCTGCATTTTGCCATCGTTTCTATTGCAGCCATATGATATTGTTGTCCGATTTTGACGAAACTAAAAGAGTAATTCTGATATAGTAAAGCTTTTGACTGAAACCTCTGACCCTCTGCAAGGGTATAAAAAGACAATCTTATTGTGACTTTCACATACCATACGGTTTTTTTCCATATTCTATTAGACACTGTAGATTTTATCGTCTTTCCTTTGGCTTACCCCTCTTTTTTTTCAAATGGCCACCGTTTGGTGGCCTACAACTTCATTCGTGGTGACCCCGACTCGGCTAAAAATGGTCCACAAAGCCATATACTAGCGCTAAATTTATCTTTATCTCTTGTTTCTTTTCTCCTCGGCCTGTTTTGCCACTGTGCCTGTTTTAGTTTTTGTTTTTTGATTTGTGTCAATAGGCTTTTATGGGCTTTTAGTTGGACGATTGGCGGCTCGAACATTTTTTTGTTGGCCATCGCTTTTTGCTGGGGAATTGCTTTTGGAGGGGGCTGAAAATATTCTAGGCGCTTTCACATTTCAAATGCACAAAGCCATTTCAGAGAGTTGGACAGCGAGTTCGTTTGTGGCTACCGAAATGGCAACTTTAATGTGGCCAAACATCGAGGAAAAACAGCCCCAATTTCCCTGCCTTTCTTTCTCCGGTCTCTCTCCTCGTTTTTTCCTATGTTTTCCAGCACAAAGACAAAAAACCAGAACACCATTTTGTACCCTGTAAAATATAACAATATATTCCTGATGTATATAACAAAATATTTTGAATATTAATAAAATGACTGGTTTGAGAGTTATAAGTTTCGCCATCAAATTTTTTTTAGTCTGTAATCTAAGGCGTAAGAAAATGCTCTTGAGAATGTATAATATGATTTTTATATAAACTTTTACTAAGTCTTATAAGATTATGATATTTTAATAACATAATAGTAAAATGACTTTGGTGATATTTTGTTTTTAACATAATCCATGTTTTTAAAAACTGTTTGTTAATTTTTGTTAATGCCAAATCTTAGCTGTTAAGATTTCTTTCGATAATTAGAAAGATCTCCCGAATTTCGCACAATGTTCTGTGGATGTGACAAACAACATTACTGATGGGAAAG